TACAGTTTGGGATTAGTCAGAAAATGTAAACTGGTGTTCCAAAAGGTTGGGTCTGGCAAATAAAGCAAATTTCTCTTCTGAGAAACAGAGGAAATGCCCCTTTTCAGCCTACGTGGCACTTCCTGTTTTATGCTGAATAAATTAAAAAAAAAAAAAGTCTTTCCAGGGAGAATATTCAATCTAGCCTGAAAATATAAACAGGATATTCCTTCTTATTTATTTTTTTATTTGGTGAGGTGTGGGAGGGATGGGGGGAGGTTTCTAAGCTGCATCTTATCACACTAAGGGGAAAGAGAATATCAAAAGAGTTGGCTTGGTTAAAACCAGCTAGGGACGTATTTCTTCCTGACACCTAGTATTATTCAAATGACAGCAGATATGACTGAAAGCATTTATCACACTCTCTGACTTGCTTTAATCTCCCACAAAGAGAAGCTGCGCTCAGCGCACCGGGCAGAGGGGGATAATGAGGCAGCAGACCAGGCTGCCAGAGTCGGGCATTGATTTTAGATGCTGAAAATAGAACCTGCTGCAGTTTCCAGCCACTGCCCTGTGTCTAGAAGTGGATTATCAGCTGAACGGCACAAGCCCAGGGAGATGTTTCCAGGCAATCAGATTGGCTTATACACAGGGCATTAATTCTCCAGAAATATGTCTTGTTGACCAATGAAAATGGCTTCCTCTTTAAATAAAGCCTGGAGTCTCTAAGGCAGCATTTGCAGCTCCAAATAGCAGTAATGACCTCTGCTTGCAGGGCATGGTCCAGGAATTAGCACCTGGGTGGGGTTAATGGTATAAAGCACAGCTGCTCCTAACTGGTCATTAATCCCAAGTAAATACCCAGCAACTCGATTTCTGTGGCTCTGGGATAAACCTGAAATCAAATGGCTTAGTCAACCCAAGCAGATTTAATACAGGAAACGCTAATGACCACAATAGCTTCCCCCTCAGGGTACAACGGGGGGAGCGCTAATCTAAAAAGCATTTTTTTTTTTCTTTCGTGATGTTGAAATGCTGATTTTCAAGCAAGCTTGCCACCCTTACTCAGTTGAAGATACTTCTCGGGCCACAGTCGGTGAGGAACGAGCTGATGTTGTTTGTTAGCGATGATGAATTTTGAACTGATTCACTCACACCCTCCTCTCTCCCCAACCCTATGGTCAAACAGCATGTTGCTATAGGCTGACTATCTCTTTCAGCTGCTGTCTATGACTAAGTGGCCAACCAGGAAAACTGGAGATGGTAGCTTCGGCCAGACTCTGCAGTGTCCTGATGATTGGAGCTCACACATGTATGACTGATTTGGGAAGAACGCATTTCTTTAAGCTCTGTAATTCCCTGCAGTCATAGTGCCTGACAATCTCCAAACTGTAGGCTATGATCTTTGAGGTTTCGGAGAGGTGTGTTTGGGCTTTGGAGGGATGAAGAGACAGATTGCGGGAGGAGAATCAAGAGAGCTAACCCCAGCATTATGTTTCAAAGAACAGATGTTTTCACTTGTTTTAGAGATTCAAGGTCTTTGTCAAGTTTCATTTACAAAAATAGTCTGCTGCTAACATTACAGTTCAAAAGCCTATGACCCTCGTCTGCTTTCTCATCTAGAGATGAGGAAATGTCTTCCCCAGACCTGCGCTTGGCAACCCTCCATGCATGTGAAGTTCAGCCTGACCCCTTCTCCTCAGCCAGCAACTTTTCCAAGAGTGCTTCAAAAAGTTGGTGGGGAACTGAGATTCATAGGTAAGTTTATTTTGGTGCAAAAAAATTTTGAGATCCAAACATAGTTTTTTTCATAACATTTTCCATGAACTTTTTGAAGACCCATAATATTTCCTGTGCAATTCCCTTGGAAATTTCTATGACTGCCTTGTTTTGCTAATTACTATTTTCTCAAAAATGCTCTATGTTCTCAAGGGCAGCATAATGACTAGCATTTCTTATCTCTTTAGTGCCTGGCATAATAACATATACAATATAAATAGTGATTTCTTAGAGAAATGACAAATGGCACCAGTATTGAATGCATTGTTCAAAGAAAGGTAGTAGCTAGCTAACAGTGCTCATAGTTTGCTTTTTGCTTTTTGTTTTTGTTAATGGGGGGGGGGTGTTGTGTTGGATTCTGTTAACATATTTAGTTTTCTTTTTCCTAACATTATTAATAAGTATAAATTGGCAAGCTGTTGACATTTCATAGATGATTCAATGACATCAGAACCCATCTTTACCTAAAGATCACATTCATTCGCAGGACAAGTAGAAAAGTGAGAAGTTACATCAAAAGCTGTTATTTTTATTTTATAAATTTATTATTTCTAGAAATTTTCTAGCATAACTTTCTTTTTTTTTTTTTTTTTAGTCAGAGTGGACAGTGAGAGAGAGAGACAAAGAGAAAGGTCTTCCTTTGCTGTTGGTTCACCCTCCAATGGCCACCACGGCCGGCGCGCTGTAGCCGGCGCGCTGTGGCCAGCGCACTGTGGCCAGCGCACTGTGCTGATCTGATGGCAGGAGCCAGGTACTTATCCTGGTCTCCCATGGGGTGCAGGACCCAAGGACTTGGGCCATCCTCCACTGCACTCCCTGGCCACAGCAGAAAGCTGGCCTGGAAGAGGGGCAACCGGGACAGAATCCAGCGCCCCGAATGGGACTAGAACCCGGTGTGCCTGCGCCGCAAGGTGGAGGATTAGCCTATTGAGCCACGGCGCCGGCCCTCTAGCATAACTTTCAAATCTCTGCCAAGAACTGTGCAGCATGTGAGGTTTCACCTTCCTTGCAAACAAATACATCAGCCACAGATCCATAGGTGTAGCCAGAAAATATAAAACTCCTGGGTTCAGAGATAAAGAACTTTATTACTCATGGCAAAGCATGTAGCATGAGCATCAGCATATCTGTGTGTCAGACCCTGTTGCTTCCAAATCCCACAGGGCTGACATCAATAAACCTAGATAGTTGCCTGAACAAGGAATTGGTTGCACTACAATAAAAGGATACCTGACTTAGAGAGCCAATCTTTTATAAAGGGCAGCAAGAATGCCTCCCCATCCCAGGAGGGACTGTCTCTCTCCCAAGACTGATTGCTAGACAACCCAGAAAAATAAAGTAGTTTATACCTCTGCTACTAAGACATGAGAAATTGTGAAGACCAACAAGGTCTCATGAGCCAAGATAGGACTTACGGCCACACCTTTCTGAATTTAAACTTGATGATAGAATATTTATCCTTTGAGTGGCATAAAGGCAATGATATAGCATCCAAAAACAAATACTGTCTTGGCTTACCAGATAGCTTTACAGTAAGTAATATTTACATAATTATAATGTAAATTCTGCTTACTAAGTTTCAACATTATGATTACCCCATAGAAAAATCATAGATTTTATTATAATCACTAGAAAGATAATAAACATCATCAATCAAGATATTTTTACATTGATACACTGAATGACACTAAGAATATACATATAACATTACTTCAAATGAACTGAGAAAGTTGAATAAAATATAATTTTAGGAACCGAAATGAGCTTTTCAAACTAGAGAATGGGATATTGTCTGATCCCCGAAGAGAGGGAAGTGCTAGCCACTGCCCTCAAGAACATAGGGAGGCAAAGTCATTCTATCTGATTAAAACTAGGAGTCACAAAGACATGTCCTACCTGTCCAAGGACCAGAAGACCCACTTGGCAGGAAGTCCTCTCTCTATTCAGGCCCATGTTAAGAGTCTAAGTCCAGGCTGGTGCCATGGCTCAATAGGCTAATCCTCCGCCTGTGGCGCGGGCACACCAGGTTCTAGTCCAGGTTGGAGCGCTGGATTCTGTCCCGGTTGCTCCTCTTCCAGGCCAGTTCTCTGCTGTGGCCCGGGAGTGTAGTGGAGGGTGGCCTAAGTCCTTGGGCCCTGCACCCGCATGGGAGACCAGGAGAAGCACCTGGCTCCTGCCATCGGATCAGCGCGGTGTGCCAGTCACAGCGCGCCAGCTGTGGCGGCCATTGGAGGGTGAACCAACGGTAAAGGAAGACCTTTCTCTCTGTCTCTCCCTCTCTCACTGTCCACTCTGCCTGTAAAAAAAAAAAAAAAAAAAAAAAAAAAAAAAAGGAGTCTAAGTCCAGCCTCATGTCACTTTCAGAATTGAGATCTGAATCCATATACTCAAAGGACAAGAAAATTCTGAGCCAAGGATCTGCATTAAAAACTGACTGTTCTGGTTTGAATAAATGCTCCCAAATGCATGCAAACTGAGGTCATGCTTTGATGCTGCCAAGGAGGATGGAGGCTTGATCTAGGATGAGGCCCTCATGGGAGGCTCTTAGATTATTGAGGACACACCCTTGGAAGGTAGTTCTCATAGTTATGTTGGTTATAAAGGAGTTGGGTCTAGCTGCTCTCTCTGCTTCCTGGTTCATCATGTGATCATTCCTCTGCCATTGCCAGGCCTCAACAGATGGCCAAACCAATGAAGCTGGTCTGATCTTGGACTCCAAAACATGAAACAAATTCCACCTCCTTCCTTCGTAAGTATCCTGTTTCAGGTGTTTTCTTATCGTGACAAAAACTGACTGACCAGAATTTATCAGACAATTACATTGTAAGGATTTTTTGATAAACAAGATTTGTAGCAAGGATGGCCACAGAAAAGAACCAAACTGAATATAGGTTCATAGATTAGCATTATAAATAGAATAAGAAAATAAAATAAAATGTGAAACAATTAGGAAATGCAAATAAATGGGAGCAAAAAGACCTGAAAGCTAGAAATAGAAAACCAAGATGCTAGAAACTTTGAAATCAGTATTTTCAAAATGTTTAAAGAAATAAAAAAGAAATCGAAACCAGAAGGCAAATATAGGGCAGTATAAAAAAAAAAAAGAGCTAGCAGATATTTAAAAGACCCAAAAAGAATTCCATAAATAAGCAACGCAGTCAGTGAAATTAGGAGATCATGGATAGATTTAACAGTAAAAACAAAAATGAAAATAATGAATTGGAAGGAAAATCTGGGAAAACCATGCATAATTCAGCACATAGAAAAGAAAAAGTAAAAGAAAGATAATTAAGAGGTATGTAGGCTAGAAAGAAAGTACAAAATATCCACAGCACTTTGCTGAAAGAAAAGGGGAGAATCATTATTAAAAGAGCTAATGATAAAAGAATTTCCCCAAATTTAAGACATATGAAAACAAGCCCACCAAATATTCTGCAGAGTAACTAAAAATAGACCTACAGGGAGCCATATTGTAGTAAAACTATAGTGTATCAAAAACAAAGAAAAATCTGTAAAAGCAGCTGTATTTGTAGTGGTACAGACTTAGCCACAAAATAAAGCATAAATACAGTTATTTCAAAATGAACAAAACTCATTTTCTTTTCTCCTGTAATGTGGATTTTTTTAAGGTTTTATTTATTTATTTGAGAGGTAGAGTAACAGACAGAAAGAAAGGTCTTCCACCTTCTGGTTCACTTGCCAAATGGCCGCAATGGCCAGAGCTGTGCTGATCCAAAGCTAGGAGCCAGGAGCTTCTTCTGGGTCTCCCACATGGGTGTAGGGGCCCAAGGACTTGGGCCATCTTCCACTGCTTTCCGAGGCCATAGCAGAGAGCTGAATCGGAAGTGGAGCAGCAGCCCCCATATGGGATGCTGGCACAATAGGCAGAAGCTTAGCCTACTATGCCACACAGTAGGATGTGAAGTATATACACATAACATTACTTCAAATTAACTGAGAAAGTTGAATGAAATATAATTTTAGGACCCAAAATGAGATTTTCAAACTAGGGAATGGGATATTGTCTGACCCCTGAAGACAGGGAAGTGCTGGCCACTGCCCTCAAGAACATAGGGAGGCAAAGTCATTCTTTCTGATTAAAAAACAAAGACATATCCCACCTGTCCAAGGAATGTTTTAAAGTAGCTCTAACAATAGAGTACCTATAACAATGGTTTAGTACCTATAACTATAAAGTGCCTCCTGTAATGTTTTAAAGTACCTCTAACAATAGAAATATAATGCAAGTCATATATATAATTTTTATTCTAACATTTTGTTAAAATGTATTTTAGAGCAAAAGAAACATTTATGTGTTATGCATATTTTAAAAATATATTTTAATATTTTAAATACTTTTAATTGTTAAATTTGTATTTTCCCTCTCAAGCTCTGGAAAATGAAAACAAAAGATTTCTCTGCTGAATTAACTACCAGTATTTCCTAAGCTACAGTAAAGCCATATGATCTTTTTCTGTGTGACCCATTAGAATTAGGATTCTTGATGCTGTCACGGCTGAAGTTGCATGTTGTTGTTTTTTTTTTCCCCAAATTTAATACCTAATAGAGATTGCTCCAGCCTAATCCAAGCAAGCTCTAGCCATCTCTATTCTAAAAGCTAAAAAGGGGTCCTTACTGGCTTCTTCATTTCCCCGTGACTTTCCTATAAAGAACCATCCACGCAGAGGTTTGTGTGAGCTTTGGAAAACAAAACTTGAACTGCTCCCTATGTTAATTCCCTTCAGTGGCATCCCGTTTCACTTAAAATACAATTTGTATTTTTTGATAGCACCCTAAGCTTCCCATGACTTGGTCTTCTGCTTTCCTCTATGACTTGTTCATCCCAACCTGGTATACTAACCTTCGCTATTTTTCTGTTTTTAATACCCCAAGTTTACTCCTGCCTTGCAAGGTTTTCCCCCTCACTCTGCTCTCTGCTTTTCAACTGTATCTCCCATGACTTTCTTCTTGTTGTGTAGGTCCCAATTGTTTTTTCTTTTTTTTAGGTTTATTTATTTATTTGAAAGACAGAGCATCCGAGAGAGACAGAAAGAGATCTTGTGGGGCTAACGCTGTTGCACAGTGTGTTAACGCCCTTGCCTGAAGCGCCGGCATCCCATATGGCCACTGGTTCAACACCTGGCTGCTCCACTTCCAATCCAGTTCTCTGCTATGGCCTGGGAAAGCAGTGGAAGATGGCCCAAGTCCTTGGGCCCCTGCACCCACATGGGAGACCCGGAGGAAGCTCCTGGCTCCTGGCTTCGGATTGGCGCAGCTCCAGCTGTTGTGGCCAATTGGGGAGTGAACCATCAGATGGAAGACCTCTCTCTCTCTCTCTCTCTCTCTCTCTCTCTGCCTCTCCTCCTTCTGTGTAACTCTGACTTTCAAATAAATAAATAAATCTTTAAAAAAAAAGAGAGAGATCTTGCATCTGCTGGTTTACTCCCCAAATGGCTACAACATCCAGGACTGGGCCAGGCTGAAGCCAGGAGCTAATAAAACTTTAACTGGGTTGCAAGGGCCCAAATACTTGGGCCATCTTCTATTGCCTTCCCAGAATAACCAGTAGAGAACTGGATCAGAAGTGGAGCATCGGGACTTGAACTCTCATATGGTATGCTAGTGGCACAGATGGTGCTCAACCCTCTGCTCCACAACCACGACCCTCTGTTCATTTTTCTAAACAGATTAATGTCAGTTCTTATGGGAAATTTTGATGCACCTAACTTACCCTTCACATTGTAGTAATAATAACATATTCCACATTTTCAGAGTATTTTGCAGTTTATAAAACACATTTTAATCTACATGGCCACTTGACCCTTGTTATTTTCTTAGAGTGTAGTGATACACACATTGTTATCTACACTTTGTAAACAGAGAGGCTAAGACACAGCATCTATTATTGGAATTTATAATGTAGAAATGAGGGTAGACACACAAATGATAAACTATGGGAAAAAGAAACATTTTAAAAATATTCATAACATAGTGTTATATAATATAGATTAGATGGCATTTACCTTACATTTGATAAACCAGGGATGCCTTTGGCAAACAGAAAATATTGGGCCAAGTACTAAAAAAAAAAAAGACAACATTTTGTCCATTCTATCAAGAAAGTAAGAAGAAAATTTGAGGGAGATAGCTTGCTGAGAGTAGGCTTGCCTGTGAGAAAGCCTGCCAGTGCTTAGCAAATGAATATTTTTAGGAGCTTCAGATGTGGCTGTGCTGGAGAGAGTGATTGAAGAAAAAAAGTACTATGGAAATTTTTCTCTTATTTTATATTCTATTTTCAATTACATAAAACCTTTCATTAAGTGTGTAGAACCAGATTTATGTGTGGATTTAGGCTGGCATGACCAGTAATGCAGAGTCTCTTTCTGTCTAAAAATTAAATCTCTAGTACATTACAGTGCCACATGGAATTGTTTGTATAGAATTAGTGTTCCCATTAGTGCATTACTCTTATTATTGACAACAATGTTCAGTTATAAAAAGTCAATATTTGCAACTATATCAAAATAAAGCATTTTTATTCTTTTAAATAAATATATTTCTGAAACATACTTGCAAATCTGAGTGCAAATTATTTCCTTTTGCAGACATTAAGAAATCACACTGCCTTTCAAATAAATAAAATAAATGTTTAAAAAGAAAGGTGAAGGGGGTATAAGGAACAATTCCAAAAAAGCGAGAGGATATACTCAATCAGAGAAAAACAGGGGAAACACATTGCTAGTTACTCTGGAGAAGGAGGGAGGAAGAAGAAAGAGAAGTGTGAAGATTCTGTGAAATGTCGGAAAACCACTTCTCAATATGATCCCTCCATAGAACCTCTTTCCTTCTCATCACTCCCATATCGTCCACCAAATTACTAAGCAAATGAAAGTTTTAGAAAAGATCTATTTATTTATTTGGAAGGCAGAATTACCAAGAAACAGAGGCAGAGACAGAAAGCGAGATCTTCCATGTGTTGGTTCACTCCCCAAGTGGCCGCAACAATCAGGGCTGGTCCAGGCTGAAGCTGGGAACCTGGAACTCTGTCTGGGTCTTCTACTTGGTCACAGACACTCAAGGACTTAGGCCATCTTAGGCTGCTTTCCCAGGTGCATTAGCAGGGAGCTGGATCAGAAGTGGAGCAGCTGGGACTCGAACCAGCCCCATATGGGATACTGGAACTGCAGGCAGTGGCTTAACCAACTGTGCCACAACACCAACCCCACACAAATGAAATGATTAAGAATGAGATGGGGGGGGGCAGTGCTGTGGCTCACTCGGCTAATCTTCCACCTGCAGCGCTGGCACCCCGGATTCTAGTCCGGTTGGGGCGCCGGGTACTAGTCCTGGTTGCTCCTCTTCCAGTCCAGCTCTTTGCTGTGGCCTGGGAGAGCAGCGGAGGATGGCCCAAGTGCTTGGGCCCCTGCACCCACATGGGAGACCAGGAAAAGCACCTGGCTCCTGGCTTCGGATCGGCATAGCACCGGCCGTGGCAGCCATTGGGGAGTGAACCAACGGAAGGAAGACCTTTCTCTCTGTTTCTCTCTCGCTGTCTATAACTCTACCTGTCAAAAAAAAAAAAAAAAAGAATGAGATGAGGGGATTGGGGGAGAGTACAGAATCCAAAATGATGGCAAATTTTGCCTATATTTGAAGGTCTAAGGGACTCCTACTTAATCTTTTGGTTACCTTAAAATCGATTTTACTCGAGGTCATGATGATAGCAGCACCTGTCAGGAACTAGTTCAATATTTTTCACACAAGACAATCACCTTGTGTTAGATGCCCTCAGAAACATGGAGAAATTCCTGAACAACATGATTTTGCTAACACAATAATTCTTCATTCTGCTTAGCAGTTGATTTCTTTGCAGATGAAATCTTTGCTGAATCAAAGTACATTAAATTTACAAACAATGAACAGTCCCCTTTCAGGGATTTAATATACTTTGTTTGATGGAACATCATTTGTTGTTTTTGTACTGGGTTGGAAATACTGATTTCAACTCAAGTGTCACTGTGAGAGATACCAGATACCAATGCGAATGTGAGATGATTGCCTTGTGTGAAATTTGTATGGGATTTTGAGACATGGTTCCTTGAATCTTGAACTCTTCAGAAGGATCAAGGATATAAAGGGGGTAAGAGAAAGAAGAGGATGCTTGAGGGTTCTTTAGAGAGAGCTGTTGATCTGCCAAGTCATCCCTACAAAGGTGGGGTGGTGAGAAGACCTCAGTGCTGGAGAGAGGGATGCTAACATTTAACACAAGCACAGTAAAATGGAGTTTCCAAGTGCTTTCTGTGTTCCCTGCAATTCTGATAAATTGATAACTATCCCAAAGCCGTAAGTTAAAGTGGCTTTATTGGAACACACCTACCCCTTAATCTTTTGAGCAAAAAAAATTTATAAGAGCTGTCATTAGTCCAAATGTGAACTACCGAAAGGAAAGAGATGTGGGCCATAGGCCTTAATATCTTGCCAGAAGTTTTCAATAAGAGCAAAAGAGAATAGCAATTGAGGTAAACCACCAAGAATGAGGTCCTGTAGTACACGTGACAGCCTGAGAGATCCAATACCCTCAGATATTTTAGGAGTGGCCACATTGGGGCTGGCGCTGTGGCGCAACGGGTTAAAGTCCTGGCCTGAAGCTCTGGCATCCCATATGGGTACTGGTTCTAGTCTCAGCTGTTCCTCTTCCGATCCAGCTCTTTGCTATGGCCTGGGATAGCAATAGAGGATGGCCCAAGTCCTTGGGCCTCTGCACCCACATGGAAGACCAGGAAGAAGCTCCTGGCCCCTGGCTTCGGATCAGCCCAGCTCCGGCCGTTGCGGCCATCTGGGGATGATCCAGCAGGTGGAAGACCTCTCTCTCTGTCTCTACCTCTCTCTGTAACTCTGTCTTTCAAATAAATAAAATACATTTTTTTTAAAAAAAAAATGAGTTGCCAATAACTGTAAGGTCTGAGGAAGCCATGGAGGTACCATTAGGGAGTCAACTTACTCACCAGCCAAGCCCAGGGAGATGGAAGTAACCCACCCAACTCAAGTCTGCTTTAAGTTTCTCCTCTCAAATACCATGTCCCAACTAGAAGCCCCAAATAACAAAAAATGTGCTATCTTATGAGAGAAAAGAGTGAAAGAAAACATAAACCAACCCTGGAGGTATGCTGTAACCATCTACATGCCCAAAGAAAGATAGTAAAGAAACATTTTTAATGAAAAATTGAAGAAGATTAATTCCTCTCTTGGCTAGGATGCCTTCCATTACCAGGAGAAAAACAAAGTGCTAATGTTTGTGACTCATGTTCTCATGATTGTCAGTTACCTAAGAATGAGCAGAAAAAGTATGACTATATTAAATTTCCCATCTATGAGCAAAGAAAATAACTCACCTGGGGTGGGGCAGGGGGAATGTTAACAGACCATGGCTGGTAAAAAATATATATGTATACATAGAATTGCATTTTTATTTCTTCCTGGAAGTCCTACATTTGCCGTCATAAGTACATTTCAAAGATCCCTCAAGCATCTCTTTGAAGCCCCCAGAAGCTCAGAATCCAGAATACCAGAATTTAAGCCATTTGATGCTCATCATTTATTTAATAACCATTTTGAGGGTGTCTACTTTGGCTGAGTACTCTCTATTAGAGTTTCACCTGCATTATGTTTTTTATCCTCACAGCAATACTCACTCTCCAGTAGTGTAGGGCCCTTCAACATCTCATTTTCACTTAGTCCTCCAAAACATTTTGTGAGGTGGTGATGGCAGGGTTATCATCTCTATCTGGCTCCAAGGAAATTGAAGCTGGAGGCGTTAGCTCACCAAAGACCACAGCAGTAGTGAACCTCCTCACCACAGTCCTGGAATGACCAGGGCTCTGTCCAGTACCATGAGTACATCATCTGCCATCTTAAACATTTGCTGTGAACAGTCTGTATAGTATCTCTTCACACCTGACTGCATTTCTCATTCTGTCCTGATAAATCTTCATTTGTAAATTCCATCCCTTATTTCTATTTCTTTGTGGTCTACTTCCTTTAGCATTAGCACAGAAGTTTGGACCTTCCACCGCAAAGTAATGTGATAAGAAAAGTTTGGAGACGGTATTCTCTCTTTTGTTATAGCAGTATGTCCTTACATTTCTTTCTAACCCATATTTGAATATTAATTATTTCAAAAGACTCGTCAAGTGGAAGTAGGCATCTAATACAATGCAAATTTTTAAGAAAGTAATCATTTCAATTCTAGGATCTGTCAGTCACTTCTGAGCTTGAAAATTCTTCATTCCAGCATTTTCTAGTACTTTTTCTGAAATAGACAGTGTATTAATCTGCCTGGGCTGCCATAAATGAGTACTGCAGACAGAGTGGTTTAAATAATAGAAATTAATTTTCTCACACTTTTGGAGGTTGGAAGTCATCACGCTTATCCTCACAACAAGAAAAATTATGAACAAAATAATGAAAATCAGCAGCTCTTCTTACATCTCTCAGAGGATTGAGGCCACAAGGAAATCTGTATCACCCTCCCCCAAAGTGGAGACAAACAAGTGGATATAGAGAATCAGAGCTTACTAGGTACAAAGCCCATAGCAAAAGCCTGTAGTGCTAGAACACTCTAAACTGACAAATTCCTAGCGGTTCAGGATACACTGGTTGAAAGTCAAAAATTCTGAGGAAGCCCAGTCTCAGGGCGCCCTAACACTTTCATGATTTTACCTCCAGGAACCCTATCAAGTATTCAAAGGTTACAGCTTAAGGGTAAAAGAAATGAATGGCAGGAAGCTTCTACAACTTTGAAGCTGCTCTTTAAGTAAAAGAACACCAAATTTAGAGTACACAATTAGGACACAAAAGCAAATGAGAAAAGAAATCATAACAAATAAATACAAATTTTTGAAAGGCTGAATATGCCACAAGCATTACAAAAATCGAGAAAATAGCACAATATTACATTAATTGACTTTGCAACATATCTACATTTCCCCAGTTTTAGCAACTTATATTTTTATCACCTCATCATACAGTTTTTTTATCATACAGTTTTATGAAAATAATAATCATCTGTAAAGAAAACAGAAAAAAAAAAACCAAGCAAATGTTTCGTTTCGCTTTGGTTGCCCAGAATTTGCCATTATTATCAATACTTTAGGCAAGTTTCGGCATCACAATTCAATATTGGTGATGTCCATGCATAGTTTTAGGATTTCCAAGTATGCAAAAACCTCTTTCATGCTTTTCTCCTACTGAAGCTGTACAACTTTAAGCACATTAAGAACATTTACATGTTCTTGTGTACTAACTAATTTAAATCGTCTTTTGAGTGGTTTGCCCTTGAGGAAGCACAGTCAGTGTGGGAATGTTCCTGGCAGCCATCCCTAACTGGAAGGCTCAGCGTAACTATGAATGGAAGGGACAGATGATCACATAAATGCAGTTCACTAAGTCAACTAATTCAACTCCCTAAAATGCCCCTAGCTAGGGTCATTAAGGATGCTGGATCTTCAGGAAAGTTGGAGAAGAAGTGACCAGCTTCCACTACAAATGTCTTTCTTTTGGGTGGGCATTGTGATACGGTGGCTTGAATTGCTGCTTGGGACACCTGGATCCCATAGCAGAGTGCCTGGAATCTAGTCCTGCCTCCATTCCCAATCCAGCTTCCTGCTCCTATGCCAGGAGGCAGCAGTGTCCCAGGTACTTGGGTTGCTGCCACCACATGGGATACTTGGCTGGAGTTCCTGGCTCCTGGCTTTGGCATAGCCCAGCCCCAGGTGTTGGCAGACATTTTGGGAGTATGCCAGTAAATGGAAGATCTCTTTCTCTCTCCCTTACTCCCTCTCCCTCTTCTACTGTGCCTCTGACTTTAAAATCAATAAATCTTTAAAAATGTCTTGCTTTTGCAAATTTTCAGAGCACATAACATTGCAAATATATTGGTAGAACCTCCCCACACTCAGGGATTAGGTATGCCAGAAAATTAAGCTGTATCAGTTTCATAGATCCCTAGATCAGGATTCAAGCTGTATTAGTGTGATTTTTGTTGCTATAACAAAATGACTGAAGGTTGATACTTTATAAAATTAAATAAATAAAACACTAATTTAAATTACATTTTTGGAGGCCAAAAATTCAAGATCAGATGGCCCCAGTGGTTTGGCGAATGACAAGGGCCTCCTTGGCTACACCACAACATAGCAGAGATGTAGAACCAGTTACATGTAGAAGGAAGTCAAAGGCATTGAGTGGCCTTGTTTTATAAAAGCCCACTGTCACAAGAGATAATTCACTCCACAAGAACTTCCAGCAGCTACACCTCCAATGTGCTAATTGCCAGGAGTACCCACCTTTTAAACATTCCACCACCTCTCAGCATCACCATACTCCCACACACCACGCTCCCAGTCCCTGAATCCTATGGGACAAGCGTGTCCAAACCATAACACAGGGCTCTGCCTTCATGGATGCAGAATATTGTGGGTGTGTATCTCTCTGGCAAAAGTTGGGTCAGGGAATGACTTTATTCTTGAATTGCTCACGAAGGGATATCTGTAAATCCTTTAAAAATGCAGGTTTACATTTTTTTTCTCCCTATTCATTTCCCTCCCAAACTTTTCCCTGTGGAGTCTTTTAAAATCCTTCCTACTCCACTTCACCTTTAGTAGAGTGGAGCAATGAGTTTTGTTTTAAAATGCAGACTGTTGATTTCCAACTGAGGATGGAGGGGAGTGAAAACAATGAAAATAAAAGGTCACAGATTCCCTCAGGTGAGTCACAAAGCTATTTATGTATTTTTTTAAACTTCATGTCTAAGAATTGGCTGAAAAGTGACAATTCAGAATGGTTGAGTGGGAGGGGATGAAAAAAAAATCACAATTCTGTGACATGACACACAGGCTCCACACCCTGCCTGCTAATGACTTACAGAATTAGGTAGCAGCCCAGAGAGGGAGAAATTAACAAACACTGGCACTGAGAAAGGCAAGTTTGCAGCAGTGAGGGTAACAACAGATAGGACCAGTGAGATGACAGGATTTGCAGGGACAGTTATAGACAATGGTCTCTCTCGTGTGGTCACTGGGCAGGTCCTGGATGAACTGCAGGCAGGAAAGGGACAAAAATGTCGTGCTGGAACTCTGTGAAGGTGAGCCACTAGGCAGAAACTCCAGGCACAAAAACGAGCAAGGATTCTGGTTCAGCTTCCACCTGAGAACGATCCTTACAGGGGTAGGAAACATCCGGCCCGTGGGCCATATCAGACCTACAATATCATTTGGTCTGGCCCTGCCAAGGCAACCACAGGCTGGACTCAAAATTCAATAAATCTATAGCAGGCTAATTTGTAAGTTTATAATTTTTTATGGCCCGCACACAATGTGATAAATATCCAAGTGGCCCCTGGCTGCAAAATATTCCCCATCACTGCATGGGAAACAAAGACAGAGAGGAGTTCCAGTAGTTACTCCCATACTGGAGTAACTGGGCTCAATTCCAGACTCCATCCAGCCTTCAATTCCATCTTTCTGCTAATGCAGACCCTGGAGGCAGCAGTAATGACTGAAGCAATCAGGTTCCTGCTGCCCAGGTGGAAGACCTGGATTGTGTTTCTGGCTCCTGACTGCTGGCCTGGCCCAGCCCTGGACACTTCAAGTGTTTCAGGAAGTCAATGGGAAGATGAGTGGGTGGACGCTAGGTCTGTCTCTCCGTCTAGGATAAGAGAGCTCTGTCTCTCTCTCTCCCACTTCTCCCTCCCTCTCAAATAAATAAACATGAAGCAAAATTAAAAAAGAAAAGGGAAGCAGCAAAGCAAGAAAACTATGTCTTCCCAAGTGATCACTTTAATATCCTGGCACAAGAATAAACACTCTTGCCACTAAAACTAATGAACAAGCAAAAATAAAATAAAAAACTATTCACTGTTATAGTATCCTCAGGTTTGGTGATAAACTCGTTTCCTTACCTCCATTTTTATAAAATATTTCATAGTCATAAGGAGCTCTGAACTTTTATCCAGTAGAGGCTCCCCACAGAGACATAACCTATAAGTTACAATCTTTTCCAGGAAAAGATATTTTAATAGTTAAAAAAGTGAGACTTAAATGGGGTGGTAATAAATTGTTTTCTTCCTCCAAGCTTTGTTGGAAGTATGGATATTCACATTCAAACAGAATTGTTTTATAGGAAAATTTCAGAGGCTGCATTATGAGATGAAATCACTTACAGAGCCTGATTTCAGCACAGTCAAAACCCACCAAGGAGGTAAATTTGGATTTCCAAGTCCCCAAATGCCACACTGGCCCAGATCCAAAGTGCAGTAAGCACCTTAGTGAAAACAGTTTAAATGATGATTGATAGGGGTTCTATTTTAGTTTTTTCTAAAATGTCATTTCTTTTTAAAAGCCCCAGGGCATGCAACGAACAAAATATATCAATCATTAAAATATTTAAATTCACTCGTAGTGATTAATAAAACATCAAAATGAAATAGTTTACAAAAATGATCTTGACTAACAATCTCAACAACACACTCATCCCAGCCTAACTTGTTTTTCTCAACTCCTCTCACTCCTCATCCTCAAAATTTTCTAAAATGCAACAAAAAAACATAGGGCATCAATTCCATAAAAAGTACTCTAAGGTTTAAAAAAAATGAACACATTCTCAGTGGATTTAAAATTATTAGTGGAGGGCCGGCGCCGCGGCTCACTAGGCTAATCCTCCGCCTAGCGGCGCCGGCACACCGGGTTCTAGTCCCGGTCGGGGCGCCGGATTCTGTCCCGGTTGCCCCTCTTCCAGGCCAGCCCTCTGCTATGGCCAGGGAGTGCAGTGGAGGATGGCCCAGGTGCTTGGGCCCTGCACCCCATGGGAGACCAGGAAAAGCACCTGGCTCCTGGCTCCTGCCACCGGATCAGCGCGGTGCGCTGGCCGCAGCGCGCTGGCCGCGGCGGCCATTGGAGGGTGAACCAACGGCAAAGGAAGACCTTTCTCTCTGTCTCTCTCTCTCTCACTGTCCACTCTGCCTGTCAAAAAAAAAAATAAAAAAAAAATTATTAGTGGAGACATTATATTCTGACTCACCATTTATGAGTGCTTATAGGGTAGGGCTCATAAACTGGGACAAGGACCAGATATAATCTTCAGGTAGATTTCTATCTAGCCAAACCCATGTTCAAAAACATTTGAATTATCTACCAATATTTTTTTAAAGGCAAGATGTTTCTTACATACACACCAGATGGGGCTCAATTTCTGACCTGCAGTATGCACAAAGCTGAGTTGTGGCTAACTGTTAGATAAGGAGGTCAGAATCTCACCAGGATCTTAAGGACTCCCACTTTTTTACACTTATTATCCCCATTTATTTAGGGTACCATGCACATATTTGAGGTTACAACATGTGCTATAAAGAAGAAACAAAGTACAGAGACTCCGAAATATTCATGGAAAAAAGAATGAAAAGGTACCTTATTTTGGTGCAAATCAATTAAAATCTATGCATTTTTTTAATCACATGCAGCTTCTGTGAACTTTTGAAGACTCCTAGTGCAATGCAGAAGCACTTAGTTGGTGGGCAAGAGAGGCAGCAGATGTTTCAGACACTGACAGGTGTGCAGCATGGTAAGACATCGAAATGGAGGCAGGGGCATTCCTACAGGGGAGAACCACATGAGCAACACCACAAAGGTACGCAAGGTAGAGAGTATGGAACACGTCTGGTAGTCTGCTATGGTTTCGTGACTCCTGTGATCGGAAACAAAAGGCTGAAACAGTAGGCAGCAGTCACAGCACGGACTTCCTCAGCCTCTGTCTGGTATTCTAAGTTTTAGATAGAGAAAACTATATCAGAACTGGGCTTCAGGATAGTTTTCCTATTAAACTCTAATAACCTATAAGAATCCCTGTGGCAACTTTGCAAACAGCAGTCTCACTGTCTTTAATTGTATTGTCCCTTCTGCAGAATGAACTCATCACTAACATTATATTCAACCAGCAGCTTAGAACACAAGAAACCATTTTCCTCCAGGATGCAGATGGAATATGGATGTGGCAAGGAAGATATTGAACTTCCTGCCCGCAGACCAGAGCTCTGTCATTAGATCCTGACTCTTACTATATGCTTTGGGGCAAGGAGCCGACCTTCCATGAAACTTCCTGTGAAATGCTGGTAATGATAACCTTCATAAGGTCATTGTTGGAATCAAATAAGATCCAGGATACAGTATTTGAAAGTACTCAGCAAACAACACAATGTAGTAGAAGTAAAGTTTGTTTCATTATTAGAGATGCATTGGGTTTGGTTATATTCTAGCTCCTTTTCCGGGAAGTCTTTTCTTTCTGTACTCCTCAAGAAAACTGCCTATTTAATATACATTTAATCCAAATCTTGGCCTTTTTTCTTATTGATATTGTCTTTGAAGGATCATACTGTGTTGGTTCTCTTGATGACATCCCAGGTATCAGCTCTAACTACTCATCTCGGTTGTTTTCCTGTATCCTCAGCCACTTGTCCTTCCTCCCAGTAATCTACATACCTACTCAAAGCCATTATGAATAAGCTTCAAGAGCAATTTAAAATTGAAATCTCTCTTTTCTTGATTTTGGCCTTTGAACATAATTCTTCTTTTTAATACTCAACGTTCTCTAACTTATATTCAAATATCCCAAATTAAGTGCCTTATAAAAAGTGTAAAAATAAACAAATAATAGGACCACTGAAGGCCTGATAAACTCAGGGGAATACCTCAAGCCAGGTTTTTGGAGAAACGCCTGCAAGCAGAGAGGTAAGGTGAAGATTAGAACACCAGAGCTGCATTTGACCTGAAGGCAGTTGTCGATGACCCAAACTCTGTGCTCCAGTGGATAGAACTAGCTACAAGGGGCAAGAGATCTAGAGCTTGGAGGAGTGGGGACTTCAGGGAGAACTCTTCATACACAGCTGGGCCTAAAGTGGCACTCTAATGAGAGGAAAGGGTGAATTAGATCTAAGCAGTTCCTCTTCTGTCTCCAATCTTAGGAGATTCAGAGAGAGCTGCCTTTGGGGCAGACCTAAGGGAAGAAGCAAAGTGAAAAGAAAAAAGAACCCATACGTGGTAGCTGCTCATGAGCCCTCGAGAGGCATATGATGATCCTGGACATCATCCATCTGGCTGGATGGGCCAGCGCCTCTCTAGCCCTGGACTTGGTGCATAGCACTTCCCACTGGAGGTGCCTGCCAATGCCTGGCAGAAACAAACACAAAGTCTCACTTTATTCTGCAAATAATTTCCCAAGAATAATAACCAGAAAGCAGCATACATTACCGTTCATGTGAGAAATCAAGACTGCACAAGTGTGAACAAAACCACAGACAGAAGAATCAGACCTACAGAGATATCACATATTAGAACAACCCATCTAGTCGGGGATGACAATCATGTCCATAACTAAAATTCAGAACAGACAGTATTGAAAAATAAGAGAAGTATGGAATGCCATCCAGAAAGGGGGAATATGGCTTTCTACAGAGCGGAGACTATTGCTTCATAGACACACGTGTTCCATCTACATTGTTTCAGGAGAGAAGAGGCAGAAACCATGTAACAATAAAAGGAAGGAGAGTGTTGAGCAGGTGACCCAGGGGAGTTAAGCCCTGTCACTTACTGGTCTTACTTAATCTCACTGAGCCCCAGTTTCCTTGTCTGTAAAATAAACAACTATTTCAATGGGGATTTTGAAAATTATATGAGTGGGTTTATATAAGAATTTGGCAGACTATCAGTGTTTAATAATGTTGAATGCTTTTCTCAGAGTTACAGGAAATTTCAAATCACAGGCATCTTATTGCTGTTATAGAAGATCCTATTATATGGCCCAAGTGCTTGGGCCCTGCACCCCATGGGAGACCAGGAGAAGCACCTGGCTCCTGCCTTCGGATCAGCGCGGTATGCCAGCTGCAGTGCGCCAGCCACAGCGGCCGTTGGAGGGTGAACCAACGGCCAAAGGAAGACCTTTCTCTCTGTCTCTCTCTCTCACTGTCCACTCTGCCTGTCAAAAAAAAAAAAAAAAAAAGATCCTATTATATTTTATTTTATTTTATTGATGGTTTTGTATTTATCTGAAAGGCAGAGTTACAGAGAGAGAGAGAGAGAGAGAGAGAGAGAGAGACAAAGAGAAAGAGATCTATCTGTTGGTTCACTCCCCAAATGGCCACAACAGCTGGAGCTGGGAAAATCCAAAGCCAGGAGCCAAGAGCTGCTTCTGGGTCTCCTATGTGGGTGTGGGGGCTCAAGTACTTGGAACATCTTCCACTGCTTTCCATTAGCAGGGAGCTGGATCAGAAATGGAGCAGCCAGGATTTGAACTGCACCCATATGGACGCTGGCACTGCTGGTGGCAGCTAAATCCACTACGTCACAGTGCTGGCCCCTATTTTTTTATGTAATTTTTTGTTTCAATTTTTAGTCTTTTAACAAATTCAATGTGATTTGTATGTAAAATTCTAAGAACATAATGATATTCTCTTCTTCCCTCTCTCTCTCCCTCTCATCCCCTTCCCCTCTTATTTTTTTTTTAGTTTTTGATATAACATATTTTAAAATTGCATTACATTATAAAGACTTAATATTCCACCAAATAAGAAGTTTCATCAGTAAAAAGACCCTAGTTTAGGGAGTATACACAATGGCTATAAACAATAACTGAATGGGAAAATTTGCTAGTATTTCACCATATCTGGTAAATTTTAAAATAATCACAGATCATTAAAACTACAGTACTGTAACATTCTTAACCACTGGTTTGACAAAGGTATAAAACAAAGTTTTACAAAACTATATTTGTAGCAACACTGATACACACAAATATTTCCTTTTTTTACATTTTTGTTTTTTTATATTATAACTCCCACATGTAAGGTAGAACATGTGGTATTTGTCTTCCTGTGTGTGGCTTATTTGATTCTACATGATGTTCTCCAGTTGAATCCATTTTGCTGCAAATGGTAGAATTTTATTCTCTTTTATAGCTGAATAATACTCCACTGTATATAGACCACATTTTCTTTATCCATTTATCTGATGATGGACACCTTGGTTGATTCCGAATTTTGGCTATCATGAACAGAGCAGCTATGAACATGGTGGTTCAGGTATCTGTTGAATATACTGTGTTCAAATCTTTTGGGTATATACCCAGTAGTGGGATTGCTGAATCATATGGCAAGTTGATTTCTAGTTTTTTAAGAAATCTCCACAGTGTTTTCCACAGTGGCTGCACTAATTTACGTTCCCACCAGCAGTATTTAGATGTTCTCCTTTGTCCACATCCTCATCAGCACTGGCTCAGAGTCTTAGTTCTTAAATTTAGGTCTTTGATCCATCTTGAGTTGATTTTTGCATACTGTAAGAGAGATGGATCTAATTTCATCCTTCTACGTATATACTTCCAGTTTTGCCAACACCATTTGTTGAAGAGATTATCCTTACTCCACTGTATGGTCTGAGCACTTTTGTCAAAAATCAGTTGGCTGTAGTTATGAGGATTAATTTCTGGGCTCTGTTCTGCTCCGCTGATCTGTATATCAGTGCCAATCTGTTTTACTGACTATAACTGTGTAGTATGCTTTGAAATCAGATATTGCGATGACTCCAGCTCCATTTTTCTTGCTCAGGATTGTTTTGTATATTCTGGGTCTTTTGTGATTCTATACGAATTTTAGGATTGTTTTTTCTAACTCTGTGAAGAATACCATTGGTGTTTTGATAGGGACTGATTTTAATCTATAAATTGCTTCAGGTAGTATAGACATTGTAATGATATTGATTCTTCATATCCATGTCCTTGATGATTTCTTTCATCAATGTTTGATAATTTTCATTTTAGAGATCTTTCACTTCTTTGGCTAAATTTATTCCTGAATAATGTGAATGAGATTTCTTTCTTGATTTCTCTGTAAGTTCATCATTAGCATAGAAAAAAGCAATTGGGTTTTGTATGTTTGTTCTGTAACCTGCAACTTTACTGAATTGCTTTATCAAATCTAACAGATTTTGGTGGTGTTCTTAGGTTTTTCCATGTACAATATCATCTAAAAACATGGATAATTTGAATTTCTGCTTTCCAATTTTCATGCACTTTATTTCTTTTTCTTCTTTTTTAAAGATTTTATTTATTTATTTGAGAAGAAGAGCTACAGACAGTGAGAGGGAGAGACAGAGAGAAAGGTCTTCCATCCATTGATTTACTCCCCAAATGGCCGCAACTGCCAGAGCTCTGCCAATCTGAAGCCAGGAGCCAGGTGCTTCTTCCTGGTCTCCCATGCAGGTGCAGGGCCCAAGTACTTGGGCCATCTACCACTGCCTTCCCAGGCCACAGCAGGGAGCTGGACTGGAGGAGGAGCAGCCAGGACTAGAACCAGTGCCCATATGAGATGCCGGCACCACAGGCAGAGAATTAACCTACTGCACCATGGCATCGGCCTCCATGCACCTTATTTATTTCCCCTCCCTAATTGCTCTCACTAAAACTTTCAGTACTATATTGAATAAGAGTGGTGAAAGTGGACATTCTGTCTTGTTCCAGATCTGAGGGGAAATGTTTTCAGTTTTTCCTCATTCAGTATGGTATCTGCTGTTGCTTTGTCATATATATCCTTATAATTTTAAGGAATATTTTTTCTATACTTAATTTCTGGAGAGTTTTTATCTTTTTTTAAAACTTTTATTTAATAAATATGAATTTCCAAATTACAACTTTTGGATTATAGCAGCTTTTTCCCCCCATAACCTCTCTCCCACCTGCAACCATCCCATCTCCCGCTCCCTTTCCCATCCCTTTCACATCAAGATTCATTTTCAATTATCTTTATATACAGAAGACCAATTTAGTATACACTAAGTAAAGATTTCAACAGCTTGCACCCACACAGAAACACAAAGTATAAAGTACTGTTTGAGTACTAGTTATACCGTTAATTCACATAGTACAACACATTAAGGATAGAGATCCTACATGGGGAATAAGTGTACAGTGACTCCTGTTGTTGATTTAACAATTGACACTCTTATTTATGGCGTCAGTAAACACCCGAGTCTCTTGTCATGAGTTGCCAAGGCTGTGGAAGCCTTTTGAGTTCGCCAACTCCAATCTTATTTAGACAAGGTCATACTCAAAGTGGAAGTTCTCTCCTCCCTTCAAAGAAAGGTACCTCCTTGTTTGATGGCACTGGAGGGTTTTTATCATGAAGAGGTTTTGGATCTTACCAAAGCTTTCTCTGAATCTACTGAGATGACTATATGGTTTTTCTATTGATGTGATTTATGACATTTATCGATTTGCAAATGTTGAACTACCCTTGCATTTCTGGGATAAATCTCACTTGATGATGATATATGATCATTTGATGTGTTTGGATTTTATTTGCTAGTATTTTATTGAGAATCTTTGCATCTATGTTCATTAAGGATATAGGTCTATAGTTCTCTTTTTGTGTCATGTTTCAGTTTGGTTTTGGTATCAAAGTAATGCTTTGATATCCCACTCCTCGGCAAATAAGATTACAGGTCAGGTCTTCCAGTTTCGTCCTTTCCTTGTAACTGAATGTCAAACTGATTGTCAAGTTTTTTCTTCCCCAAAGTTGTGCTTAAAAACCCCACTATCACCAGCCCCTTTGGGTTTTCCTCTCTTGGAGCCCACTACCAAGCCACTCTGGCTAGAGGTCTCTGACTTAAACAATTTTGCTTTAAAAAAAAAAAAAAAAGAAAGGAATGCTGAGCTTATAAAGTGTGAGGGCAGAGTTCCATTTTGTTTAATATCTTGGAACAGTTTGAAAAGTGTTGTAGTTACTACCTCTTTGAATGTTTTGTAGAATTCAATAGTCTCTGTCTCTCTGTCTCACTTTCCACTCTGTCAAAAAAAATAAAAAATAAAAATTAAAAAAAAAGGCCGGCGCTGTGGCCCAATAGGCTAATCCTCCACTTGTGGCGCCAGGACACTGGGTTCTAGTCCCGGTCGGGGCGCCGGATTCTGTCCCAGTTGCCCCTCTTCCAGGCAAGCTCTCTGCTGTGGCCCAGGTCCTTGGGCCCTGTACCTGCGTGGGAGACCAGGAGAAGCACCTGGCTCCTGGCTTCCCATCAGTGCGATGCGCCATCCACAGCGTGCCAGCCGTGGCAGCCATTGGAGGGTGAACCAATGGCAAAAGGAAGACCTTTCTCTCTGTCTCTCTCTCTCTCACTGTCTACTC